TGTCATAAAGTAAACGTGGAAATAGTTTGTTTTAGTAATAGAGTTATTTGCAAATGAAAAAATTGGTTTTAATTCATAAAAATTCAAATTCAAAAATATTTTTAATGTCATTCAAACCAGTTATCTATTTGTCGTACTTCAAATAAACACTTTTGACTGTAGTTATTTTATAATAAATTTATTATAATTACTCAATTTGTATTTTTTTGAAATAGAAATAGGAAAAAAGTAAGTTTTTTGTTTATAAATTTATTTAGTTTGTTTTTGGCTTGTATTTTCTAAATTTGTATAGTTTAAATATAATTTGTATAACTAAACTTTTTTTGGAAAAAACAAAGTTTGGGTATAAAAACAAAAAAATTATCATCTATCCGCCACAATGATGAGTTTTTAGTGTGATCAACCATGATAAATACAAACGTCTTCATCTCTGAGTGGCCTTTAAATATCAAAAGACAATTTTACTTAATGATAAACAGTGACTTAACATTTAATGTTATATTAATTTTTTGAATGATAATAATAATAATAATAATTTAATAATTATAAATTATAGTTCATATTATTGAACTTGTTTTAAAATGAATGAAATTCTTTTCTTTATGATAGTTTATATTTTCAAACCGAAAATCTATTTTCAACCATTTAAAAATAATAAAACATAAATAAATTAGTTATAAATTATAGTAAATTAATAAGGACAATTGTTTCGAGGAGCAGTTTCGGGCTTTGTTAATTCCATTGGGAAAAGTTCAAACAGTATTTCTTCGTCACATTTTTCTTTTTCTTTTTGAAAGAATTTTTCAGGACATCTGATTGGGTGTGGGTTTTCCTTATTAGTCCTAGGGTCATAACAAATTCTAAAATCTCTTACCAGGTTTCTATATTGACAAAAGAAGACCGGTTCTTCTCCATATACCTTTTGTAAAATAACTTTCAAGTCTTGAATCTTATACAATTTATTGGTCTGGACTTTAAGTTCACTTTGTTTTAATATCTCCCAAGCGTCATATTTGTTAAATAAATGAATTGCAGTTTTCATGTATTCGATTACCCCGCGTGGTCCGTGATAAATTTGCATTGCACACGTTCCGTGTGTGTCAAATTGGTACATGGCATATCCACATTGTTGAAACGACATCCAATTTTTGTGAATCATTTCCACAAGTGGTCTATTTCTGAAAATGATATTTTCTACACGTTTTAAGTCCAGTTTGAATAGGCAACACCTCAATTTTGCATTAACCCTAATCTGAGGCCAAAACCCGTTTAACATAAATCCTTCTTTGACAAAAGGTGTTGTTTTTGGGATGGCACAGTGTCCACCTTTACACCTATTACCAGGCCAGAATTGAACAAGTGCAATAGATTGTATTTTTCCTTCAAATTTTATATAACTTTTACACATTGGATAATAAGTGAATTCGTTTATTAAAGGAGGGTATTTTACAGGTTGGGGCTCTTTTGCTGGACTTTGAACTATTTCTTGTGCCTGAAATCTTTTCGTTC